GGCTACCTGGGATGATTTATTTTGTCTTGTGCTGATCATTATTTATGAACATTATGAAGATTTCAAGGCAATCGAAATGTGCTCTCATCACTGCCCCGAATAATATTGATATTTTTCGGGCCAAACAATAAGCAGAAAATGCGTTTCCATTTCACGATTATTGTGACTAATTGCGTTTGATTGTCAATTGGTTTGCATGTTGCAGACAAATAAATTAATGGCCCACCAGAGGAAAAAACAGGGAGCAGGCAACTGGAGTTGAGCGGGTCTATGGCCCGCATGTAAACACATGGAAAAACTGCCGGCTTGGAAAATGCAAAGCCACGTATTTAGTGGCGTGAAAAGTTTACCCCAAAAACAAATTCAGGGGGGAAAAAGAGGGTGACGGATCGGGTTAAACGGCATAGAGAACATCCAATGCTCATATGGAAGAAAAACCAATAGGAGAGAGCAGCTTACTTACGACCCAGAACACGCCTGAGGGTACCATCATATTTATAAGTCGATTGCTATTAATTCGTTACTTAATTGCTCCTCTTATCGAGAGCCCGAGTCGCGTTCTTAGTTGGGGGAAATGTTTTGTATTTCATAGTCGCTCATTGAAAATAATTAAAATTAATTAAGACATTCTCCTCGGGCGCATGCATTGCCTAACCGTCGTGTATCTATAAATTTAAATCGTCTCTAATTGAGCGACTTTCGGGTGATGTCGCGGACTTTGGCTCTCGATATTCTCCGGAATTTGTATTTACCCAAAAAGTACATACATATATAGGAACACCCATGCGATGTTGCAATAACTAAGCCAATCCAGCCCAACTGACTGATTTGTCCGAATATTCTCGTCAGCGGCAATATCAAAAATATGAAACACGTGCATTGATTGATTGCCAGTTTATTGTCTCGACTTCAGGGGCCGGGGGATTAAGTCCCGAAACTGAAAAGACGTTTCTTTTTGGGAGGGGAGGTTACCCATTACCCATTGTGGATGAATGTTTCGCGGAGACAGTGATGGTCACGTGAGGCGGTCGCGTGTGGCCCGGAAAAGCGTGAAATCCCATTGGAAACGATTGTAACGAAGGCATAAGCTTAAGCATCATTACAAGTTGTTCATTTCGGGTTAGTCAAGTTTGATAAATAGCAATTGAAAATGGAGTTTCTGCAATTGTTAATTCAATTACAGGATGCAATCAGCAAAGGAAAAAAAAAGCATTGGGAATGAAATTGTCCTGGGAGATTTACAAATTTTGTTTTCCCACATAAAATAAATAGTTTTCAAATTGTTGTTCATTTAAATATTTTGTAATTTAAAATAAGATTAAGAACTCGGGTATAAAATATGTTTTTGGTAAAAGATTGTTGAAATTCTTAGTATTAACTCCAAAAAAGAAAATTTGTGTTAAAAGAAATTTAGTTTTCAAAAACTCGTTAGTCTCAACATTTAATTTTTAAATCTAAACTCAAGATTACATTTTAATTATAATTCTAATATTTTTTACTATTATTATTATAAAATATTTTATTATTTTAATATTTTTCCCAAGATCTGTAACTCACGCTGTCATCTTTAGGCCAGCAAGGATATGTCGATAGGTGAAATAAAAGCCCAAGGCATAAACGGCAACCACATAAGCATAACATAAGGTGACTCAACCTGAACCGGCTGTGGCTGTCGCCTGGCTTGACTGACTGACTGAGGAAGTGAGGTATTGACTGACTGATGGACAGATGAACAGATGGACAAGCATTGTTTGCGACGACCACTTTTCTTACACTTGCATTAATTTTCCGCTTTGGAAACTATGGAAAAACTATGTGAGTGATGGAACGAATTTGCATTCGACATTTGAGGCGTTCATAACCAGAGATGGAAACAAAAACCCTAGACCTAATATCAATATGGAAAATTCCTTAGCCAATAAAATATACAATTCCATGGAAAGCCTTTCAGCAATTGGCTTTTAAAGGGGATCGATCGCATTGGCTGTCCTCAGATGCCAAGTGTCGATAAATATACTAATTGTTTATTTTCATTTGATGCTTTTTAAATAATTATAAGCATAGAGCCAATAAATAAGACAACTTATTTTCAACGCCAAATGGAAGATTGAATAAGGGCGAGCAGGCAACCTTTCAATTTGAATTCCAAATCGAAATTTTTATGGCACTTGGAAATTAAGTAGTCAACCGCAGCTCTATACACACACATGGAATCAGATCAAATCCCATTCCAGATGGTGAAAATGAGCCGTAGAAGAGTTTCCAACCTCCCACATCCCTCAGCTCACAGATACTCGAATATGTGCTTTTGTGAGCATTAAAAATAAATTCAAATAATTGCCAATTCAATAGACAGCCAATAAAGAGGGGGTTGGCAGCTGACAATGCTATAAATGTGGTCGATTCGTATTCTCGCTTAACTGAATTGTACTAAGAGCTGGCAAAGATAAGAAATAAATTGAGGGTACAACTTAAAACCCTAATTTAAAAGATATATATCAGAATATTATGAGAAATATATATAGTTCACGTAGTGGAAAACATTCTATAAAGAATTATTGTTAGTAACTCAACGTATGGTACATTGAAATAAATGTTTAAGTACCGCCTTTTTAAAAACCCCATCAAATTCATTTCTTTGCTATTACACAATCCATGCTAAAACTGTCAATTTAATTATATTCTTTTACATATCGCCATTAGTTTTAGTATCCCATAAACCATTTTTCTTAGCCATTTCCTATTTTCAGTGAGTAGAATCCGCAGCGTGCCAAGCTGAAATATTAATTTATTATATGTATACAGCATCCTCGGAAAAAGCCTGCTATTTGGAATCGAATTAATGGGGGAGCTCTTCTGCGGCAACATGTTCCAAATGTGTAGCCAAGTAATTTTCAATTCGTATTGCTTATTACAGACACTTTTTGGCCAATTATGATTATGCCATATAAAATAGCGTATTCCACGATTATCGGCCACGAGTCTTGAGCATGTGTTGGTAAGAGTGGCAATTAATAAAACAAATGTGGTCGTTTCATCTCTCCTCCGGCCGTTCGAACATTTTGAGTGGAAACATATCGTGCACATTCTCGCCCGACTTTTCAATGTAAAAACCAAAGCAAATGCGGCAGGGAAAAGTTGCAAGAGGCGCACGCCCTGAATGAAAGCAGTGGAAAACGGAAAGGAAAATGCGGGGTGGACTATACACATATTGGGGAATATGATTTGTGTAAAAGTTTCGGCTGTGATTAAGCACTCGAAAAGTGTAATTGCAGTCGTGTGCGTGTGTGTGTGTATGCACTTAAAAATAGAAGCCCCCAACTAAGACCATAACTAAAGTCCATATGGATCTGAACGATCCGATCCGTACGATCTGGCGACGGCAGCTGGCGAAACTCGGAGAGAAAGAACTACGACGAATGCTTAAAGTCAATTTTTGAATAATTATGAATCGTTTTTCGCTTTCGTTGTTCTCTAATTATAACAACATCATAATCATAATCGTGATCATAATTTCATATTTGGCTGACTCTTCGCATTTTGCGGCGTTCTTAATGTGCCAAAAGTTTATTTGTATCCCGCCAACATCTACAGAAAGACACAGATACAAATGTATCCTCACATATGGCGCATCATTTTCAATATTTCTCAAACAAGCAAGAACCACACAATTTCTTCATTTTTGTTCATATTTTGCATTAAACACAATTAATTTGAAATGAAATACATAACCATTTGAAAAATGTAATTGCAATAAAAAGTTGAATAAGATTTTGCAGATGAATTATTTTCGAAAATGCTAGTTATATAAGAGTTCCGGTTTTATCAATTTTACTCTTGTTTTTTAGTTAACTTCCTCTGCTTATCTTTATTAGTCATATTATGGTTAGAATTTCGTTAATGCGAATTATGGGTCGTTTTATGTTCATTACAAAATTATCTCAAGCAAAGCTTAAGTGTCAGAGGAAAAATACTTCGGAAATCCCAAGGGATAACGATTGGAATTGGGCATATCCGCTGGCGATAGCTTGGCAATTTGGGATCCTCTACAATCTTGGATTTCTAAGAGTAGTTTATCGAATTCACTGGGACTATATTAGTTTGGAAACGGAAGTGATACGTCAATGGCTTAATTGTATAGTGTGCATATTGCTTTATGGCTCCCAGAGCAAATAAATCGCGAAACACAAATCAGAGTCGCCTTTTATGGGTGCAGTCGCTTAAGTTAAGCGAATAAGCAGCGCCGGAAATTATAGAAATTAGCGATGCCAATAATATTGAGCAGAAATTAATATGCAAGCAAAGAGATTAAGCTAAATTTATATGTACGTCGCAGCGTCGAGTGCGTGCCAAATAAAAAGTATTTGCCATTCTAAATCGGAATAATTCCATTGGTATCTCATTTTATTTTACTTTATAATATGCAATCTAACCCACACAAATGGCAGGTAAAGATACCAAGACATTTGTGAGTTGGCTAATGACTAAGACTAAGGAGTGTCAGTCAAGTCACACAAACTTGGCTAATAAAATAGAAATTAGCCAGTGCGCGCTGATTCATAGGGCATATGAAAATATAGTAACAGAACGTTTATATGGGCCAATAGTCATTTTAGAGATTTTTTATCGCAAACGTTCTTTTTTGTTATTTTCTAAAATATGTGATTTATTTTGGTAGTTTTGCAATACAAAAAGACACAACTAAAGGGACTAAGCTTTGGTTTATTCTGTTCAATATAAAAGGTCTATTATAAAAAAGGTTTATTTTTGTATTTTCTAATAAGTTTAGGAAGCAAAAATTGTGATAAACTTTTAATACAATACAATTGTACAAATATGAAGATGAAAACAAAGCCATAAGCAATTAGAGCCTTTCGTATTTTTGCAGTTTTTTATGTTATGATCTCTTTAAGAAATGTTCAACTTTATCTCTAAGTCCTAACCATAATTTTAAGCCTTTGAATAATACTTTGATTGTGGTATCCAAGTTTTATATTTACCATTTTGATTGTCTGTTTGTGTGTGTTTGTTTATCCTTTCCACAAATCCTGTGAAAAGTTTTTTTTTCTTTTTTGTTTGTTGATAATCCCAAAAGCAAGAGTTTAAGAGTTTTAAAAGTTTTTCGTTTTTGTTTTGTTGTTTTTTACGTAGTTTTTGCAACTAACTGCATATGTTCACATTGGTAAATTTGTTTTTATGTTGGTTTCTTGGTTATATTATCACTCGAGAACCGATTTAAAAGTGTTATTTAGTTGTGTGTTTTAATGGCGGGTTTTGGATGATTGATTAGGGAAAGAACGCCGGATGAGAGCCAAGAACGCTGGAATTTTGCCGCTGCGCGCGTTCGCACTGCTGCACGTTTAGTTACTGACTAAAGGGCGGGCAATTCAAAATTTTTTTAAAATCATCAGCGCTGCTCTGCCAGCGTCGACGCCGCCGTCGACTTTGCAGCGACAAACACACAACAACAACAACGAAAAACTAATAAAATCAATTTACCAACGCACACAGATACGGCGAGACCCGAAGAGCGGTGAGCGCGTTCGTGTGCGACTTCGTGAAATAAGCGAAGGAAAGGGAACATGCTGAAGAGCGTAATTCTCTCTTTGTTTCTATGGTGTGCGTGTGTTTGGCTTTGAATGTGGGCCAAAAGTAATCACAATAGCAGGCAATTGTACTTTAACTTGGGCTGATTGCCAACTCCGCTCTCTTTTTCTCTCCCATTCTGGCTCTCTTGAGGTGTGGGTGTCTGTGTGTGCACGCCAAATGTGTTAAGCAAAACAAAAAGGCAAAAATGCGGCTACAACAACAGCAACAGTGCGCTCTCCTCAAAATAAAACAACAAATGTTAAATCAGAATTATTTGCTTGGCCAGCAAAATATAATTCTTTTTCCAAAAAAAAAAGAAGAAAAAATCGAAGGATGTTGCAGCTGCATAGCATAATTTTGGGAGTTCTCAGGGACCCTCCCCCTTTTCTTTTTTATTCCTTACATAATTGCTCGAATTTCATAGCAAACGAATGAGAAGAAACGAAAGGAACCCTCATGTCAACGACCGTTATAACAGTTACCAACCCGTCCGTAATTACACACAAAAGTTCCATATCGCATATACATAAATCGCAATTAATCAAGTGCAAGCCAATGCCGCTAAAACTCCCCAGCCCGGCCATCGCAACCCTCCCTGAACCCGAACCTGAACCCGAAAACCTAAACCCTAACCCAAACCCAATTTCAATTCCAATCCAAATCCCAACAAGTTCAAAAACTCGACGTTTTGCGAACAATAATTACACCTCCCGTTCGCACTCACAGCATTTAGCCATGCTGCCATCCTGCTCGCACACTCTCACAAGCGGCTTCTACTAAAAATGTAATCATTATGCTTTATCGTGATAATCAGCGAAAGGCAGCAGTCGCAGTGGAAATCGCAGTTAGGAGGAAAGTTTTTATACCCGTTATGAATAGGGTGTCAAAGTGTATTTCGGGTATTCCTAAGTTTCACCGAGTTGAGTGACAGGATGTAAAGGATTATGCGGGGTTATGGTAAGGATACATTATAGAAAGTCATTTAATATGGGAACATTTTCAAAAAACTTGTTCTTTCCTGAAATAGGGGCAAATTTAAGATAATTAAGTAATTGATACAAATAATAGATAATATCTCACAAGCTTTTAAATATTTTGGTTCTTAAACCTATTTGGAAATAAACTTATCAAAGTGATCAAAAGTTACCAATATGATACGATGTGAATTGAAAAAATTTAAACCAAATATTTTAATTTAAAAAAATTAGTAGAGTTATCTTTTAAAAAGTTTTAAGCAATAATAAAAATGAGGATTTACGAAATACTAAGAAAAGGAAGTTTCAAAACTGGCTTTTAAATAGGGTGTACTAAAAAACGTTAAACTCTTTTAAATCAGGACAATAACCTAATAGCAGCTGCTGCCACATCTTACAGACCAAATAAAGTTTCATTGAACCTCTGACTAATTCATGGGTATCAAAGTGCTTGCTTCACTTACTCGAACGCAATCAAAGCTAGTATATAACAAAGGAAAAACCCTAGCGCAAATATACATTCGAACTAGCCAGTAGAGGGAGAGAGGGATATTGCAGGAGAGAGCGAGCAGGAGGAGCTGCTAGCATATCCAACTGGCAAACAAACAAACTAAATTACAACAATTCCAAAAATTTATAATTGTACTCAGGCGAACGAACACATACACACACACAAGTCAAGTTAGAAGTTGAGGAACCACCACCCAAGTCACCACCCCTTGATAAAAACCCCCCATCCAACCGTAATAATCATCATTGGCATCGGCATCATCATCTAGGTTTTTTGCCTTCTCGCCTTACAATTCGCCATGGAAAAGGAAAAGGGGCAAAAGGCAGGACCAACTAACAAAAAACCAAAAACGAAGGAACAACAACAAAAAAAGGCAGTTAAGTTAAAATGTACTTAGAGTTTAAGCGTAACCCCGAAATCCCAACCGAACCCGAAACGAGATTGTGTGTTTTAAGCGTTTTAGTTACCCCACACAGCCAGCCCATGCCACCCCTCTCGTTCTCTCTCTGATAACTTCATCCTGCTCGCTCCTTTGTTGTTGGCCGGCCTTTTGCAAAGTCAGCCATCTTGTGCGGCGTTATTAAATTTTATACAAATACTAAAAATGAAATCAAAATTTTCTTATTACAATGACTATTTTGAGACCATCCCCCATCCTTTCCCGCCTGCTGTCCTTTTCTTTTCTTTTCTGCTCGCCTTTTCTTATCCAACTTATTCCTCTTTGCCAACAGCTGTGCCTTGAGTCGATTCGGTCTTCTTTGAAGGGTGGAGGAGTACGAAGCAAGCTTTTGGATTTACCCTAACTTTTAGAGTTCTTAAATTCTGTTATAGAGTTTGTCAATTTCCAAAATTCAGTGAGCAATACATTCCATGTATGTACAAGAAGAATTATTGAAAGCCTTGATTGTGTGGTAGAGGGCAATTCAATAAGGCTCTCACACTTTTGATTCAATATTTGCAATTTGCACAAAAATATCTGATTTTAAACTTTGTTAAATATTTATATTTTGAAAGGTATTTTTTTATTTTTAATATTCTTAAAATATTGCTACAAACTTATTAAATTAAAGGGCATTGCATAAATCGGTGACTGTTGAAATTAAAGCCGATTCTATTCCTCGGTTCCCATTGCTGGCATTTTCTGACTGTGTGTGTGTTTAAATGAAATCGTACTTATGCCACTACTTATCGACTGCATTCATTGTTAAGACTACGTAAAACTTTTCAGTTTTTGGCTGTTGACCCCTCTGATCCCCCCAGCCCCCACCTGCTCAATACTCACCCCTTCCCACCCCCTTTCAATAGAGAAAACTTTCCCTTAGTGGAAGTCCTGTAAATGTCTGAGTAAAAATCCATAAAAATCAATTAGAAAATGTTCATTGCAAGGCAGGAAAATCATAGCCAGTCAGCGCAAATGTTTTACGACTTCCTGTGGCAACTAAAGAAATTTGAAAATTTTTGATTCTACCTACCAAAAAGCAGATACCAAAACAAAGTAAGCAACGAAGCTACCTGAGCATACTTAAAATTTTAATTAAACACTGCCAAGGCTGTGCCTAAACAAATCTATCCAGATAAGCCTGAAAACGAAGCGAAGAAACAAATGCCAAAAGATAGGATACGAGCGAAGGACAAGTGATGAATAATACCAATCACGTACAAGGAGGGGAGGGGAGGGGGGCCACCTTCGTGGCCTAATCAAAAGAGCATTGTAAACTAAGCCAAGACAAGATGAGAATTCCAATTCTGAAAGGATCGTCAAAGATCAGGCAGGGAACTCAGAATGCGTAATCTCACACCAAAATGCTGCAGCACACAAAAACAACAAATTAAGTGCCGGCACACACAGATACACTGCGCACACATATGAATGCATACGCTACACCTACACCACACCTTCGCATGCCTATCTACATAAATCTATGGAATGAAAACATTATTCATGCGTCCAAGATAGAAAGAATTGCACTGAGGAAAATACTATATATTTGTATTTCATACAAATTTTATTTTATCCGGGGTCCCTAAGTTCTTAACTGGTCATAACCAAGCAATCGCCGCGTTCTTAAAGAAATTTGTAATGTTAAAAAGTGGTTAGTAGTCTCATGTCGGTGCTAAATTTATAATGTAGTTCCCTGTTTTACCATTAAGGTAGTAGAAAGGTAGTATTTAATTTTACATGTCCTTTTTCTTATTCTGAAAACGAAAACAAAAATTTATAATGAAATTCCTTTGTTTAATATTGATTTATGTATATATTTTCTATTTCAGATCTTGAACATATAAGAAATGCATTCCCCGATAAATTACAAAACCTTTATAAATATTAAATTACATTCTGGAATATATAAAAGTAACACTATGAATGTTAAAATCATATTCCCGATTCGCAAAGAATTTTCCCCTGTGTAATAACGCAGAGAGTGATCCATTGGGAGACAATTAGTCGAGCTGGGACAGGCTTCCATCTCGCATCACCCGATAGCGAGTCCCTCGACTCACCCCTCACCTTTAAAAAAAAAACTTGCGTTAAAAGGTCAAGCCGACTCTTTGATATTGAAGCATTGATCTATTGTCCCTCCATCCATCCCTCTCGCACTCATTCGCTCAATCCAGTGTGTGTGCATTTTATACGCTTCGTTCTTAGTGCGATATTCCTTTTATTTCGTTGTTCTTTCGGGTTCGTAGGTTCTTTTTTTTAGTGAGTTGGTTCGTCAAAATGATTGATTTGTAGGTGATGAATTACAACAACCACTGAAAACTGAAATATCCGAGGCATTCTAAGGTTGGGTTAGTTAAGAGCAGGCCGACAGATAGATGGATACATGGATAGCCGGGATGGATGTGTGAGAAAGGTATGGGACATAGTGAGGATTAAATACGAAATTTTCCATTTAAAAATATCTCTCATTGTTCGCATTCGTTTTTTGTTTGGTTTTGTTCTCGGCTCTTCGTTTGCTCATTTCTTTTTTTTCTGGTCAGGGGGAGGCTTAAAACGTTTTCCATAGATAAATCTGATATCAGGATTTGGGAAAATTAATTATTGTAGCAATGCACATTTAACAATGACAATGTGGGAGAGTCATCTCCGAGGAACGAATGCCTGTCATTTAGTTGATGAAATTCTAGGCAGGGCCAAGGACTTCTTTCAAAACCGGGGATCTCAAGCTGAAGATAAGAAAGAAATCCCATTAGGTATGGAGAGTTTTCTTTCCTATCCTATGTAATAAGAACTTTTTTGAGTTCAAGGAAATTTTTAAGATAAACGATCAACTCTGATTTACATTCAAAAATCTTTCGGAAAACTGG